ACAGCTGTTCTCAATCTTTGAGGTGTCGTCACCCCATGGGGCACAGCTTGAAGCAGCTCGAGCACATCTCTGAGGTGTATGCATACAGCGATTTCCATGGAGCAGATTCCCAAGGGTTGCAAGACATTTACCAAAAGGCACGTGAAGATGGGATACAATGCCAGGGCTTCGGAAGCTGTGCACTTGAAGGTCTCAGCGCTTTTGTTGGCTTCCTTCCTCTTCGCAGTAAACAATTTAGCCAGATTCTGCGATTTCGAACGAGGCAAAATCCACTGCTCCACATAATCAGCACAGATCTTGTAGAAGTCCTGGCCAAGGCCTTTCTCAGCAGCTTTCATAGTGAGCTGCATGCAAGTGTTCCTGCCAAGAGTCGGGGCTGGGCAGGCAGGAAGAAAATGATCATGCCAACAAGTGCAGTGCAGGAAAGGAAAAGAACTGGTATTTCGTATATATTGTTACATGCAAAACCAAGCATCCAAATGCCTTTGACGAAAAAGGCATGCATCCAGTCGTGAAGCCATTGGCTGACAGGCTTGGCGACAGTGCAGAGTTCCGGGTCAAAGATCAAGCTCTCAGGCTGATAAACGATGCCCACGGCCTGCTGCCACAAAGCAAAGTCGGTCTTCGTCAGCTCTTCATGTTTCTCCAACAGCTTCATGATGCTTCGGCTGAAATCCTCGTCGCTGTTCAGTTGCAGATCAGCCTCTTTGAAGCACTGATTCAGCAATCGAGCTTCTGCTAGCTCAATGCTATTGTTCGCCAGAATGTTTCGGCAAAGCAAGCAACACCGAGTACCTGCGTCCCCCTTTATCGAGAAAAGCAGCTTGTGTGCTGCTCCATCCTGTAGGAATGCAGCGAGCCTGAAAAACAGCCTTTCGGCTCTTCCACCATCAGGCCGCTTCAACAGCACTCCTGCTTCAGGGCTCGCATTGCCAGAGACGAAGATAGATTTCAGCAGCATGCCAGCCACTTGGCTCATACCACCAGGCAAATTGGACACCACAGTGGTTCTGACCAAGCACAGCGGCAGCCATGAGGCTTCTTTACTCAGGTTGATGGGGCATAGCTCAAAAAATGATACATAGATTGCCCAGACTTTCCGGGATGCTTCAGGCGCCAACGGGTTTCCACAATTGATTTCGTCGGAGTAAAAGATTAGCCTGCAAGGAGCACGAGTGCTACTGCCATGGAGCAATCGTCTCCACTCAGCAGAGGCGAGCCACAGGGCTTGTAGCAACGAAAAAAAATTGACGAATATGAGAGTCTGTTCAGCACCATCCTTGTCCTGCACTGCCATGCTCTGAAGCAATGGACCATAAGCAGAATGCTGTTCGAGTGCATTCTCTGTCGCCTCCTTGACATGTTTTCTTCCATGCATTTCCGGTAGGCCAGACGATTCCACCGCTTGCAAAAGAGCAGACATGGCTGCAGCCGACATAGGCGGTAGCCTTCGTTTGAAAGCTTCCAGCTTCTGCAGCTTAGCTCCTCTGTCCATGGCCGCTGACACCACTCAAAAAGATACCCTGATTTAGCGAGTTTCGTGCATGGCTCATCACAATACTTCAAAAAAGAAATAAATGCACATATTTCCTATACGGTCTATATTCATTCCCTGCATAGTGCAGGCCTCCAATGGCAAAAAAAGATAGCATGCGAAAAAGCTTTGCAAAGCGAAGGTTTGAAGAACAAATCCTAAAGCCATACTGGGTTGTCCGAGTCTGACAGGCAGTGGGCTATACGAGTGCTGTGAAGCCTAAAGCCTCGAACCATGCACGAAATTTGCATAGTAGTCGAGACTGGCTGATAATGTTCCATGCAGTGTGAAAAGCTGCAGCCTTAAAACCCCTAAACCATGATAATGCTTCAGCTTGAAAAGCTGAAGCCTGACACAGCCGAAAACATGAAACTACCTTTTAGATTGTAGGTTTCAGGTTCTTGGTTTAGCCATTAATGGTTAAACCAAGAAAACAAGAAAATAACCCATATGCCAAAGCTTGAAACCCTAAAGTCGCAAAGTTGAAGCTTAAATGTTTGCATATAGCTTGCATGGTCAGCATGGCGCAATCCCTTCGTTTTCTGCTTCCCCCAGCACTGGCTTCACGGCCAATGATTCGGATAGCTCTCTTAAACACTTGAGCGAGACCATCCTCAACACCCAGCAAGCGCCATCTAAAGACATGCATCCATGTCCCATGGAACCTGCTATAGCCCGGAGGCTCCCCAGGAGTCTCATGCTTCGATGGCCAAATTTCACGAGCCTTCGGCCCTGCAGGGTAGCATCACTTGTCCCACAGCTTTGCTGCTGCTGCACGAGCTGATCTAGCATATTCTTTGCAAGCCTCATCGTCGCAGCCGCTTCGTCGGGCGATGTCTCTGCCCTTGTGGTAGTGCTTGTCCACGTAACTGTCTCTGCGACCTTTTCTCTGTGCAGCCGTGGGCTTCTCAGCGATGTACCGTGGCAAGCTTGCAGCAGTGGGCTTCTTTCCACCCTCAGCCTGACCCTTGGCTTTGGACTTGCTCTTGGGCTTGCCCTGAGCCTTACTGGCTTTTGATGTCTTCTGCCCATTGCCCGCATTCGCTTTCTTGTCCTTCAAGGCCTGGAAAAGCTGCTCGTCAATCCCCGCACGGCCTGTCTTCTTCTCATCAGTCGTCTTCTCGGCCTGCTCCTCTTCCTCACTCTCCTCATCCTCAGCCGGAGGCTCATCCTCAGCCGGAGGCTCTTCCTCAGCCGGAGGCTCTTTGGGTGCTGGCGGCAACATCTTCAAAGCCTTAGCCTTCGGCTTCGGCTTGAACTGCTGTCCACCCGGCTGGTTCTGCTGGAAGACATTGGCCACCTGTGCGACAGCCTTCATCATGCCCATGAACTCCTGCATCCCAAATCCGGCCTGGCTTTGAGGAAAGCTGTGAAAGCCCGTAGGCTCGCTGTGAGAACAGCCCTTGAGCTCGGAAGAAGTGGCAGCAGGCTGCTGCAGCTCCATCATCTTCCTTTTCTTGCTCTGGGCGACATTCCTGTGGGAAGTTCTCACAGGGCACAGCTTGAGGATGTGAGGATAATTCTCTGGTCGCCGAGCCACTGGCTTCTCATCTGGGTAGGCCGCCTCGAAGAGGGCCCGGGGAAGTTTGGCAGGGATGTCGGGGAACTTGACCAAATAGATGCTGTGATCAACTTGCTGCTCTTCCGAGTTCGCGAATGCCGTCTTGAGCTGACATGCCAGGTCGTGCATCTTGTCAGACGACGGAATGCTGTCCATGAAGCATGCCATCGTAGCGATCGAATGTTTCACGGTCGACTCTGCCAAGCTTCGGGACCCAAGGCTCTTGAGCCGTGCAATGGTGACCTGCTCCTTCGAGTACCAGGAAGCCTCCAAACTTGTCAAGACATCCCACTCGCTCTGGGTGAAGTAGTTGTACAAACACTTCAAATGCTGCGGCTTGAGCGACTGCAGTGTGGCAGGCTCCTGCTCCTCGCAAGCCTCGCCCATGAGCTGGTCCACTTTGCCGGCAATGGCTTCTTGCATGTCCTCCGGAAAAGAGCTCTCTTGAACTGCCCTGTGCAGCTCGAGAGCTCCTGCTGCATCCAAATGATGCAAGCTCTCTAAGCGAAACAAAATGGACTTCAACACCCCTTGCTGAAGGCCGCCGGTAGCCTTGCCCTTTCTATTGGCCAACAACTTCGCATTGTCCTTCATGTCTTGCACAACATCCTGCACAGACCACTCGGCCATCTCGGAAGGGCTTTTCAATGTGCTACGGCTACCGTTTGTCAGCTCGAGAGCTCTGCCAGCGGACATACTTACATGAATCAAATATACAGAAACATGTCAACATTATCTAAGAAGGAAACAACTGGTGGCATCAAAAAAGAGCCATGCCTCAAGATTGTGGTTTTTGCCTGCAGCAGCTGCTCAGGCACGAAATTTTATGGTCGACCAAGGGTTCGTGAATGCAAATGAGAGAGAGAGAGAGAGAGAGAGAGAGAGAGAGAGAGAGAGAGAGAGAGAGAGAGAGATAGAAAGAGAGAGAGAGGAGAGAGAGTGAGTGAGAGTGAGAAGGAGATGTAGAAAGAGAGAGCGAGAGACGGAGAAAGAGAGAAAGAGAGAGAGAGAGAGAGAGAGAGAGAGAGAGAGAGAGAAAGAAGAGAGAGAGAGAGAGAGAGAGAGAGAGAGCAGGTGCCGGGTGCTTTTCCCTGCTGTGTCGGTGTGGAGATGTTCGGCCGCACATGCTTCCCCCCAGGCAAGCTTCATTCTTGAAGCATGTCGTATGTCTCCTTTGTGTATAGTGCATGATCCTCGTATTTTTCGTCAAATGTGGATATACTGCATGTGAAAGAAACAAAATTTTCCTACATGTGCAGAAGTGCCGACCCCAGCCCAAGAGCTTTTGTATCTGAACAACACATAATTCTTGAAAGCTGCCGGCTCTATATAGGGCTTGAAGACAACCTAGGGAGATGGGCCACCAGGAAAGCCTTTTCCAGGTCTACTTTAGCCCCTGTATGATATTGCTTGGGAAGAATTAGAACGAACCATGCACTGCTCTTGTTTTGCCACACAGGAAGCAACTGCATCGTTCCCAGAGCCTGCACGTCGTGTGCTTTTGTGCAGGATCTGCCCAGCCAGCCATTCTCCACTGCAGAATGTAGAGCGGCCAGCAACCAACGGCTAGGTCTTTCCAGTGCTCCCCGGTGCCCAATTGGAAAAAAGCTTTTCGGCCGACTTCTGAGCACGACGGTTGAGCTGGCTAGCTTATCATCGACTATCTCTGGGACAACCAGCCCTATAGGCTCCAGGATCAGCACAACCGTTGAGCTGGCCAGCCCACCATGGACTATCTGCACCAGGTAGCCCATGGTGGGCTGGCCAGCTTGGTCCTTTCGCCTTTCTCCATTCTTCGCAGCCGCATGCAGAACCAGCCTCAGGCTCTACAAACAACACAACCGTTGAGCTGGCCAGCCCACGATGGACTACCTGCACCAGGTAGCCCATGGTGGGCTGGCCAGCTTGATGGCTTCGCCTTTGTCCATTCTTCGTAGCCGCAGCAACCAGCCTATAGGCTCCAGGAGCCATAGCCAAATCCATTATCGCCTTGCACCGACTGGGCAACCGAGAAGGTGGTGAAGACGAACTTCGTCTTCACCACCTTCTTGGTTGCCCTCGACTTGACCCGACAGCCTGACCAACTCGCAAACAACAGCCCATAGGCTCCAGACCATTTGCAGTGCAGCCATGGAGCGAGGATCCGTAGAGCCGGCATGCATGCCACGGTTCCTAAGACTCCTGGGCTTATATAGGTTTGCTATATAGGCTTTGGGGTTCATGGTGTTCAACACTTATGAATTATATGAGGTTTAGGGGTGTCCGGGTTTCAGGGCTTACAGCTTAAAGGGTGCACGGTTTTGGTCAGCTTTGGGTTGCACAGCCATGCAACTTTCATGAATATCTAGCAGAGCAGCTTCGGCGACACTGAAAGCTTCCAAGTTGACGGGTTGAATATTGTCCCGCAATCACGAGCCTCACGGCTTCCTTTCATGATGTCAGTGTGTGTATATATATATATATATACACGTGTATATATATATATATATATTATGTTTGTATATTAATGTGCACGTACTCCTTCTTGTACTGGTGTGATGTGACGGAATGACTTGAATTGATTTGCTTTAGTTTCATTGAATCATTGATTGATGGCAGCGAAATCACGAGCCTCACGGCTTCTTTCCATCATGTCCATGCGTATGTCTATATGTATATATGTATATATGTTTGTATGTATATATATATATATATGTGTGTGTGCATGTGTATATATATATGTATATACGTATCTGTATATGTATATACATATATATATGTATGTATGTATATTGATGTACACATATTCTTTCCTAGACTGATGCTTGAACTGTTTTGCTTTCAATTGATTGAATCAATGATTGATGGCAAACCCAGCAGCCATGAACTTTAAAGCCTTAGACTGATTGTGCTTGAAGAAACAGCTCTCTTCCTGTTTATGTGTTGCTATATGTATATATATATATATATGTATATGCTTCCATATGCATACAGACACACACACACATATGTATATAAATATGTATATATATATATATATATATGCAGGACCGCAAGGGCTATCCACGAAATCAAGAATCTGAATTATATATATTTTTTTTACTAAAAAATCAGAATCTGAATTATTGGTGCTTGTTGCTTCCTTTTGTGTTGCCTTCCCAAAAAATAATTATTCTGGAATCCCGGTTACAACCAAGCAAACGGCTTCAAGGCTTCAATCTAGCCCAAGGGCTTTTCCAAAAACTAAGCACCCCCTGTAGGACAAGGCTTGGTTGCAATGTGAAACCACCCATGCACTTCTCTTGTTTTGGCACACACGAAGCAGGTGGTCTGTGCAGTAGTGAAGTGAAGCAAAGTCGCCGTGCTTTCCCCGCCGGACAGCAACAGCTGCTATGCTCTTTACAAGCCCTTGGGCTAGACA